GCTTTGACTGTTCACTGTTTGTTATTCATGGTGTGTGGCTGGGTTGCTAAGACAGAGGGTGGTGTTGCCTCTTCCTGATTGGTTGATTGAAATAATTGCTATAGAAGTTGAAAAAACAACAAATAGCAAATACTCAAAATTCCAATAGAAATTTTCTGAATGGATGATCATTTGCACTAAGCTTTTTGAGGCTTTCAAGACTGACTTCCTTATGGTAGTCCAAATACTCATTAATAGGAAGTGATGTGACTTTCCACCCAAAGAACAGCAAACCAAACAGAAGTATTTTAAATTTTGATCATGAAATGAGGGATATTTTAAAAACTATTCAACCAGCTCTGTAAAAAATAAACAGTTAGAAGAATTTTAAGAAGAGGAATCTCAGAGGATCAGAGAAACTACTTGATATAGATTCAAATATTTTTTTTAAAAAATGTGAGACCTGTGAGCAGATATGAGAGAGCTACATTCAGTATTGACATGTTGGTTTTTTGCATTGGTCAAAATCAAGGCCAAACTGCTGCTAATTACAGTCAGTGACAAAAGGCGATGTTTGTTTTGGGTTGTTGCTTGATTGTGTTGGAAGTTAAATGGTGGCAGCCCAGCTTCAGCGTTTACACACTTTCAGGAGATGACAATTATACCAAATGTTGCTGGTTTTGTTTGAAAAGGGGAAACCTGGCAGATGCCACAAAATAGCTTCCCGCTCCCACAAATCTGTTGTCTCCCTCTCAGCCCTTCTGCCTAATGGTGCAGAGAGAACCCTGTCATTGACCGCGCATCTCCTCTGTCTGCTTCTGTACCCACGAGTCTGGAAGCTCTAGATGTAGAGTACATGCGTGGGAGCAAACGTGAGCTTTAGTTACAGCATCCATTATTAAAGAGCCAAAGGTTGTAACAGGAGCCCTGGGGCCCATTCATGCTCCAAAGGCCCAGTGCTCTGTTGCAGCACCTTCCAAATGAACTGAGCAGTGAAGAGAAATATACTCATTTGAATGCAGTGAACACGAATTTTAGACACACAAGAAAATTTCCATTGGTTCTAGTAGTCTCCGGTTGATGTCCTGAGAGCCAGGCTGTGGTATGGCATTGTCGCAGGTTGAGATTTTTATTCATGGTGAGTTTTTATCTTCAAGATACCCTGGCAAAACACAGAAAAAGAATCAGTTCCTACCCCAAGGACCATCCATTTTAAGTTAAACAGACAGTCTAAATGTATCGCCACACTGAAATACATACGAACCTCAGAGTTACAAACACCCCCATAATGGAGGTTGTTCGTGACTCTGAAATGTTCGTACTTCTGAACAAGATGTTGTGGTGGTTCTTTCAAGTTTACAACTGAACATGGACTTAATACAGCTTTGAAACTTTACTATGAACAAGAAAAATGCTGCTTCACCTTAATTTTTTTTTAGTTTACGTTTAACACAGTGCTATACTGTATTTGCGTATTTATTTATTTGGGGGGGGGGGCGATGCCGTTGCTGCCTGATTGTGTACTTCTGGTTCCAAATGAGGTGTGTGGTTGACTGGTCAATTCGTAAATCTGGTGTTTGGAACTCTGAGGTTCTACTGTGCGGACATTGTAACGTATAGCTTGAAAAAATATGAGTAGATGAGTAATTTGGGTAATTGGAAGTAAGAGGGGAATTAAAGGTGTTTTTAGGGAAGTTTGGTGATATTCTCCCTTGGGGGAAAAACAAATGTGTGGATTCAATATGATATATTCCAAAAGCAAAAAAATAATTTAAAAAAATACTGACCAAGTGACTAGTGACTTTGGTTGTCAAACTTGAGACATTTTTGCCTGATTTTTTCAGAAAGTGATTGCCACTACTCATGTTTTTATGAACACTCTCTCTAAATCCAGTGGTTCTCAATCTATTTACCATTGTGAGCCACACAAGCAGCTCTCTGTGTTATGTGGCCGCATCCAAACCATATATATACATACTACCTGTCTGGCCCTGAGGATGGCACATGGGCTGCAGCTGTGTGCTGGTTGGGCGCAGGTTGAGACCCATTGGTCTAAATAATTACTGGAAGAGATGAGAGGGGGGTGAACTCATCAGAGGCAGGGAGAAATCATCCTAGCCTTTCCTTGAATTTGGTGGTGGAATTTTAACAAAGGGGTCCCCAAGAGACCTCTTCAGCACATCTGTGTTACATACTTACCAAGATTATCAAAATTCTGTCCCCATTACACACCTATATATCCTTTGTCTAAACCTTTACACGTGTTACATATTTGTAGGTCTAACAGCTTACAAAAATCACTGAAATAAATGCTGGACAAAGTATCTGTGTTCAGTGCCACACATACAAGCTGAATTGCTACCCAGGTATTTTATATATTCGTAAAATACACAAAGCTTAAAAAAGAAATAACCAAGTAATATTGAATCTCTGGAGAAGTACAAAATAGAGTAGGATAGATTATCTTCTCTTCCTACCTCTTTTATGTTCCCCCTCCTTTCTCTCTCACATTCCTCCTCCTCCTCCATAAAATATTCTTGCAGCATATAGAACGTAAGAACCATTTGTCTAGCAGAGACTGCACCTGCTGTAAGATTCGACATCCCCATTAGGGGCTCTTTCCAGAGGAAGTCATTTCCTTCTCCCTATAAATTATGCATCTGTGTACATTTAAGATTCCGAAATGAAGACTAAAACAAAAAGGTAATGCTGAACATTGCTCTGCTCTACGGAGTTGACTCCTTGATCCTTTATAGATACTTGAATGTTGCTTACCAAGAACAAAGCTCTGTGCGTTGCTGTCATAGCGTTTCTACATCGCTAAATGCTCTGAGAAGGGAGTCCCTCTGATTTCCAGAAACCGTGAATTTTGAATCCTAGTCCTTGTACTCTAAGACGGCAGTGCGATGGGTAAGAGCTTTGTGCAGGGTAAGCCGGGAAGGCATACTGGGATTTGCTTAGCAGCAGAAGCTGGCTTTCCTTTCGCAGGCCCTGCCCGATGAACTCGGCTGATCCTTTCTCCTGGTTGGACTCTTTCTCACTCCCTGTTGCCCCAATCTAGCCGCATGCCCTTCACAGGGCCCACAGGTGTTTGCTTGGTTTTTCACTCTCCTTCCTGCACACAACCCTCAGACTGCTCGGGCATGATTCCTGTCTTAACTCACCCCGAAGGCCAATGGAAATAGAGCTTCAGGGATGGACTAGAGTAGAAGCTTGAAAGGAGAAGATTGATTCAACCACTCAAATGGCCGTTCAGATAAACGTTATGTTTTATGAATTAAAATTCATAATGTATGTGATTTCCACCTCAAGCTCGAGTGAGCTGTAGCTGGGCATTGTAAAATAACTGCCTGTTCTACTGCAAACCTAGGGATTACTGCATTTTAGCTGCGTGTACAGCGGGTTTGTCTACATCTGCGTGTAACTCGTTTATTAATTTTAAACACATACAACACAGTCTCCTATAGGCAGGGGGTTTTTGTTTGTCATAGATATGGCATATATATACAGTACATGATGGTTTGGTGTGGTGTATAGGTTTCATGTGTATTTATTTGGGATAATCTGCATTTTGTGTGTCTATGTGTATAGACACACACACATTGGGTACTCTGAATGTCTCTATGTATAGTCTCTATGTATAGGAGGGAGAGAATATACAGTATATAGGATGGTATGGTGCACTAAAAAGGTTTTATCAGCAAGAGTTGGATTCTGATAAAACTTTTATGCCAAATTATTCTCTCGTTATTTCCTTATAGGTAATCTAGTTAGCTGTAGATATAATGCATAATGTAATTAAATTTACCTGTGTGTTTTCAGAGTAGAATTTGGAAAACAATTATGGCTGATATAAATAATGTTTATAGAGAATGTATGTGCATATATAAACATGCACATTTATATTGGGGGTAGAGAGGTAAAAATGTATTTTTGAAACTGCTTTGGGATCCCTGAGAATAAAAGGCTATATTTAAATGGACAATATTTTAAGTCCATTTCTGTGACCCAAGGGAAGAAATTAAAATATGTAATAATTGTTGAAACTGGTATGGATAACTGATATCTTAAATATAGACTTGTTTGCTTATAATCGCAAATAATATAAACTGTATTCTGAATATCATAAATTCACTTGTCATAAATTCTTTGGGACAGGGACTTGCTTTTTGCTCTGTGTTCGTACAGCGCCTAGCGCAATGGGGTCTAAATGACGGGAGTTCATAAGTGCTTCTGCAAAGTGAAGTAGAATGGAAATGCTGAAATATTTCACTATGACGATTCCTATCCAGGCTAGAACGAACCTGCACTTGTAGTGAATTTGCCATAAGATGGGATTTCACTGAAAGGATCAAAATTGCCCCTGAGAGTTGCATGTGGGTATAACCAAGGCAAGGGTGATATTTGCCCCTAAAAGTCTTGTTTTAAAGATTTGGCTCGTTCACTTCTACCCTAACTGACCCCAACAGCTGAAATTCCTCTTTGAAGAAAGCAGGTGGCACTTGGTGTTTTCCTTTGACAAAGTGTTACTTTAGAGAGAGATTACTTTTTCAAAAATGCAACAGCCACCCAAAAGAACTCTTCTATTAAAGCAGGTCATCCCAGCTTTTCATCACTTATCTGGTGATAGCAGTAATGAATTTTTTATTTTCTGCAGGGCTCACTCTAAATCTGACACAGCATTGTGTGGTGCATACATATAAAAAGGCCACTAATTGAAATTCAAATGTAATGAGATGAAGTTTTGCTATTCACCACAGCTGCCTTTGTTTTAGTCCTTGTACGCTCAGTGCACCTAAACAATGCAACCCTCGCTTCTACTTTTAAATTCAACATGAATAAATTAAAAGGAAAGAAATCTTTTTAGTCTATTCCAGAAGTGAAATATAGTTTGAAAAACAAGAACCATTTTTTTTTGTCTTTTGTGGGGAGAAAGAGGTTTTGATGAAATAAGAAGAATAAAAAATCTTGCTGCTTAAAATCTACTTTTTTGAACATGCAAATGTGTTTCTATTGCCTAGGTAACTATTATGGAACACCCAAGCCTCCCAGCCAACCCGTCAGTGGGAAAGTGATTACCACTGATGCTTTGCAAAACCTTCAGTCCAACTCCAAGCAGTCGACTCCAAAACGAACCAAGTCTTATAATGATATGCAAAATGCTGGCATAGTGCATACGGAGAATGAGGATGAGGATGACGTCCCTGAAATGAACAGTAGCTTTACAGGTAAAGCAAAAAATATTCTTGTCCATATTATAGGATGCATTGCATTCCCCCCCCCCTCAATAGGAGCCCTGCAATGCTGCCAGTTCTGGATTGAACCACATTGTAATCTGGGTTAGAAGTATTTCTACTGTCTTCTATTAACAACACATTTTCCCTAGCTCACAGAATAGTTTAAAAATAGTTTAACCTAGATGTGTATCTGTTTCCCATGCAAAATTATATAGCCCTTGATTCCATTTCTCCCCCTTAACCTATCACTATACTCAACATAGCTAATTTGGTAAATGAAGAAGATTAGAGAATTCTAAGAAAATTCATTGCATCTTTACCTTTTTGATATCTTATGTTAATGATGGTCAGAGTCTGATTAAACAGCACAGGGAGAAGTTGTATATTTTCTTCAGGACCTCGTGTAGTCACTTAATTTTACAGTCTTACATAATCATAGATGCCTCTAAAATGGGAAGTAGCTCTGAGTAGATATCTCTTGCTGTGTAGAATAATTGAGAATTTCTCAGCTAGTGTACAGGATGGGGCACATTTGTCATTTGAGGTACATTCATGTTCCTTTAATAGTGTCCCCTGAATTCAATGGACCAATCCCGAAAGGTCCCCTCAAGGATTGAACTCACAAATGCTCAAACCACTGAACTATCCTTTTGAAGGTAAATCTCTCTGTGGTTTGGAGCCCTTATCCCAGCTCCGCACCCCTTTTGCAAAACTCCCTACTGCTGAATATAAATATAAAGTGACTTTGCAACTCCCACCCCATCCCACCCTCACAGGTTGTTGTTGGGAAAAGGCCATTCTGAGAGCTAATTAATCTCCTTTCTAATGGGAACTGGCCCTGACTAGAACAGTTTAACTGTGAAACTAGCACACTGTTTTGCCTTTTACAGAGACAGGAGGTATATATTTACTATAATTCCCTCTGACTAGTGTTTTCTACTCTGTGAGTTAATGAAAGATACAAATAATCTGTCATCATGAGATCAGACTTTGGCCCCTTGTCTCCACCAAATGAGCACAAAATCTGGATAGAAGAGCATTGGCCCACCCAGGTCAAAAGACTTTTTCATGCTTATTTTATGCCAGGGATAATTCTGCTAACCACCTTAAAATTCTCCCTGTTCTGCAGAGGGTCTTTCTTAGACTTGCGTTTTCAAGCTTTGGCATGTTTACACTAATGATCTGATGGGTGGAAAGGGATGAATCATATTTTAGTTTCTTAATCTTGCCAATCTCTACTTTAAAATATTTAAAGGAGCTAATGCAGGAAGCAGACAGTGAGGGTGTTGAACTAATCTTGGTCATAGTTTTATTTTTCTGGTTTAGAAAATATTATATCAGTGCCTTTCTTGTTCACAGAAACAGCAGGCAGGGGTTCACCATGGCAAGGAGTTGGGTTTTTAAGTGTCCAGTAGCTCTGGTTTTGGAAGACTGTTGTGGATTTCCACCTCCCTTCAAGAAGCAAAGCTGTCCCCAGGGGACGGCGAATCGGGGCAACTGCTCCAGGCCCTGCACTTTGGGGGCCCCGTGGGTTGGTGTGATTGGCCAGTGCTGCATGGGTGGCAGGTGAACCGCTGGCTGGGGGAGGCTATCCCCAGCCCCACCCCTTCCACCCGTGGAAGAGTGCACCCAGCCTCAGGAAGGCGGGCGGCATGGCCCCAGCCCCCTGGAGCCCAGCGGCCCCGCCAAAGCGGGGCCCTGGAGTGGGGGCAGTGTCATCGGGGCCGCGCCTGGCTGTTTGGGGAGGCACCGCCTCCACCAGCCTCCTCTGCCCGCCCCTGGCGTGGTCGGTCCTGGAAGTGATGTGACTTCCGTCCCGGGCCCCGCATCCCCCTAGGGACAGCCCTGCTCCCTTTACTAAGCTATGTCTACACCTAGCAGCCTATAGCGGCACAGCTTCAGGGCTGCTTCTGCGCCACTGTAGCGCTTCGGTATAGACCAGTGGTTCTCACACCGTAGGCTGCTTGTGGGCCAATCAGCACACAGCTGCAGCCCATGTGACATCCTCAGGGTCATACAGGTAGTATATATATTGTGTCCATGCGGCCCACATAACACATAGAGAGATGCATATGCAGCCTACTGTGGTAAATTGGTTGAGAACTACTGGTGTAGACACTCACTACAGCAACAGGAGGGATTCTCCTGTCGCCGTAGTAAATGCAGCTTCCTGAGAGGCAGTAACTAAGTTGACGGTTGACCTAGCCCTGTCTCCATGGGGACGTAGGTCAGCTTAACTTTGTCACTCAGGGGTGTGGATTTTTCACAGCCCCGAGCATGACATAGCTGGGTCGATCTAATTTTCTAGTGTAGGCCAGCCCCAAGACACAGCAGTGTTTATAACATCTGTAAACCAAGGCCTGGTCTACACTGGAAAGTTATCTCAGTGTAGCTATGTCAGTCGGAGTGTGAATAAACTTATGCTGACCTAAACTCCCAGTGCAGATGCCAACAGAAGAGTTCCCTTGACATAGCTAACTTAGGCCTGGTCTACACCCAAAATTTATGCTGACCTAGCTGTATCAGTCAGGGCTGTTAAGATGTTTGCACCACTGTAGACTCAGCTAAGATGACAGAGCAATTCTTCCACTGGCCTAGCTACTGCCTCTTGAGAGGGTAAATTTACTGCAGTGACGGTAGTCACTACAGGAAGTGTCTCCACTACAGCGGCGTAGCTTCAGCTGTGCCATTCTATTGCTTATGTGTAGGCGTAGCCTTGCTCAGGGCGTTAGTGTTCGTGCACTCACAGGAAAACCCCTTCTGTGGGTGCAGGCCGAGCCTACGCTACTGGGCTATGCCAACATAGCTGTGTAACTAGAGTCTCCGTCGTGTAATTAGGAGCGGAGATCCAGTTTGTGTGGAGCAGCTCCTAAGGGTTAAGGATGTGAGCAGTTGCTGCAGAGACCGTACACCTTTGCCATTTTGGAGGGCGGGTTAGGGTCTGCAGGGATCCAATAACCCCCTATTCCCTCCCTCCCCTCCGACCCCTGCCCCCCAAATACTGCAAACAGAGATTTTTCCTCAAGAGAGGAGAACCATGCAGCCGTCACTAGGGACTGTACTATTGGTATGGATTTTACCTGGAGGGCACTTAGAGGCTCTGGAGATGAACAGCATTGTAAAACCCTATGGATGGGGGCAGAACAGAGTGTTGCAAGCTGCCCCTTATAGCAGGATCTCACGACTCGATTATAAAACATTGAAATAAATTATTGCAATTGCTCAGTATGAAATTGTTTAATATGAAAGAACACCACCGCATCATTGACTTGTGCTCCAAGGTACCTTAGGCAATTCTGAAACTCTCCCAATCAATCTTTCTGCTGAAAGGAAATCTTATTCTCTTGGGCCCCAGTCCCATAAGCAGTTCTTTGTGGGTGGGCCCCTGCACCCTTTCAGAGCCCCACTGAACTCAGTTACTTCAGCAGGCTCCAGTTTGCAGGACTGGAGCTTCAGAAGGAATAGCTACAGGAAAACTCACTATCCGTCTCCCAAGTCCTGTGCTTTGAAAGGTAAGGTGAGTCTTTGGAACGAATACCAACGCAGGTATGGACACAAACAAATGAACAAGGAAGAAAAGTTGGTACAAATATTTGAGTGTGATTACCGATAATTCTTTTTGTGATTCTACAGCAGATTCTGGTGACCAAGACGAGCACAATATACATAGTATAAGAGAAACAGCGCCACCTCCTGTGAATAATAGCATCACCGCCGTTCCCACCACGGAACCATCTCAGAAGCTCCCTCAATACCTACCTCCTTCTGCAGAGGAAAACCTAGGTCCTCTACCTGAAAACTGGGAGATGGCCTATACCGAGAATGGAGAAGTCTATTTTATAGAGTAAAGCTCATATTTTGTTGTCTTTTGTGTGTGTGTGTGTAATCTCTGTCTGCAAATGTACATACATGCAAACCATGTGTATTTAATGTCTACAGTTGCTTTTAAGAACTAAAAGATCTTGACCAGTTGTAAGACATTGTTGCAATGCTCCTACTTGTGCATTTCCTGAGTGGATCAAGCAGCCAAACTCTTCCAGAGTTCAGAGGTGTTGCAGATCCAGTAAATTTGGGGAGCAACTGTAGTTTTTTTACAAAGATAGTTACAAGAGCCACAGGCAGTTAAAAATATTGGTTAGTTTTCTAGTTTGGGATGAAAGCTCCTAACTGAAAGACATTAAGAACTCTCCTTCAGAGCCTGCCTGTGTACATCAGAATGGACAGGGGAAAATTCCTCCAACCCCATGCTCAATCAATAGCAGAGCCAGGGAGCTAACTTGGTGCACTGCTGTTCTCCTTAAAGAGAAGGGTCCAAATTGGATGCTGACATGCTCCAGTGGGCTTGCACAGGGCATAACTCAGAGCAGAATTTGGCACACAGTATTTGGAAGAGCCAGGAAGACATAGTGCTGTGGATACTTTTTGCTTGACAGCTTTGTAGTGTCAGCCGCTTTAAGGTGGTCTTAATATTGATTTTTTTCGTACCATAAATAATAGTCTCTAATTGTACTTAGAGACTTATTAAGACTTTAGAAGCTGCTAAAACAGGACTGGCTAATACGAGAGATTCCGCCGACAGAGTTAGCTAGTCATCAGAAGAGTGCAAATAGTGTTTGCAACCTGAAAACAAGAAGCTAAACAAATCCCTTATCTGTCTTTATGGATATGAGGCAAGGAATTTGAATTTGGTTTTGAAGGTTAGTATACTGTGGTAATGGAAACTGAGCCCCTCTATCTACAGACCAAATACATCCAGATACAAAGCTGGCTTTTCCTTTATATAGGATTTAGACCAGAACCTCAGCTTTGACATGTTTAAAAACCCCCACTGTTTTTCTATGGGTAAGATAACTGCCAAACTGACTTTGATTTAAAGGGGTTATGCTACATTATTTGCGGGTGGAGTGGCTCTGATCCTCTAATGTCTAGAATTGAAGCGATCGTGTCCTTTGGGAGAGATTCTTGGGAGGTCACGCCACCAGCAGGGGCAGATTGGCAGGCACTTCAAAATGGCACCCTCTATGCACCATGGCCTCGCATACACTGTGTGTGCAAGATTCTGCTAGTGGAGGTGAGGTCATGCCTCTGGGATAGGCACAAAAGTACCAGAATGCCCAGTATTCTGAGGATATAGCAGTAGTCATCCTATCTGTGCTTCAGTTTGAATCGAGGCATGTTCATTATACTAAACATGGTGCTCTGCCCTCAGTTGTATCTGAATGGTGATTTTGTGCTACTACCTTCATTCTTTGAAACACTTTTTGGAGGCAGAGTGATTTATTACATGTTTATGCAGTCTTTTAATGAGCGAAAGCCCTGAATTTCCAAATGGTCTTTAAAGACTTGTTAGCCCTTTTGTGACAAAAATTAGGTAGGAGAAGGATGTTTCTGTTATTAAAATCATGTACGTGTCCATGATTGCTTCTGGATCTGTCCTTACTTCTGTGTGCGTACTTGATTCTTTAATGCTGTTACAAGTTATGCCACAAAGCAGGGAGAAGAGAGAGGATGGGTGTGATTCAGTTCATAACAAATAATAATGATCTCAGCTATTGCCTGCAGTTCAACTGCGTTTCAGTGTAACTTTAGAAAAAGAAAACAAATCCCGCCCAATGATTTTGTACACCTCGCTGGTTACAGGGTCAGGAGCAGAAATTCCATGTGAAAGGCTGCTTTTATAATATGCCCTATCCAAACAACACCAGGGAATATTGCAAATAGCACAAAAGTTTGTTCTCATGAGTTTATCCGATGGAGGAGGCTCAGATAAATGTTGTATGCTTAAGCTAACAAGAGCTTATGGGGTTCTCCTGTCATTGGGAATGACCTACTGGACTGACACTTGCTAAAAATATGCAAATACTGTACCCATCCATATCACCACCATTTTCCCTAGCGAACCGCAGACTTTTTATACATTGGAGGAACCCCTCTGCTTTATTATTGATGATTTGCCTTGCTTTGCTAGAGTTCAATTTACTAGTCTGAGAAACCCAAACCACGACCAATGAATTCATCAGAAACTCTCTGAAGTGCACAAAAGAATTGAATGTGTTCCTTCTGCATTGGGAAGGCTGACTAATGAAATGGGTGAAACCAAGGACCTTTTACTACAGTGCTCAGACACAAGAATAAGTCCGACATCGAGTCATGCTGGTTGGCTGTTAGTCCTGAAAGGAACATAGTCCTCATTACATTATTCCTTAGTTCACAAGGGGTGTTGTGAGGCGTAGTTAAAGTTAGTTAAACCTCTTTGAGAACCTTGAATGTGGAGTGAACAGTATTGATATGACATTAGAAAAGCGTCCCTACAAAGTATATTTAAAGAGGACATACACACAATCTTCATCCTTGGGACCGAAGTCAGGAGCTGGTCCGTGGACTCGTGAATAGAAAGAGTTGGAAGTTGCGCTCGTCACGATTTCCATTTAATAATAGGAAATGTTAATAGGAACATTTTCACTGGAAATATCTGTTCTGATTGATGTTTTCTGTCAAAACCCAACAAATTTCAAAGAAAAATTTAGATGAAAATAAAAAAAAAGTTGGAAAATTTTCCTGAGGAAATAACCCATTTCCCAACCAGCTCTCACTGGTCAATGAGTTCACCGGTTAGCCTCCACATTAAAATGTGACCCAGAGTGTAAATGAAAGTTTGCCGGTCCCTGCTATAGTTACTCCTGTGGCCTTACACGTGAATTTCTGACTTCTAGTGGTGACTCTTTTTAAAATCTCAGATATTTTTTTCGGTCAGTGCTGAAAGTCTCCTGACTTGCTAGCCTGGTTTATAAAACATAAAATTGTTGTTATATTGCTTCTGAAATAAAAAACGCTTTCAGCTCAGTTGAATAAGAGAGGGGCACATGTTTTTCTGTCACGGGTACTTTAGCTCGGTTTATTAACAAAGGTCATATTTCCATTTCTGGTTTGCAGCCATAATACGAAAACAACATCTTGGCTAGACCCACGGTGCCTGAACAAACAGCAGAAGCCACTAGAAGAATGTGAAGATGATGGTAAGGGGCTGAAAATAGTGAACTAAAACTTAGTGTGTTTGCTGTAATTTAGGTAAATAGAATTTTTCCCCCCCAAAACAATACTAGGATAGCAAAATGTAAAATAAAGAACAGGGAGTGCACAGAGAGAACCAGTATGAACGCACACGTAAAGTGAATCATCATGATTTTCAAATGATCTCGAGTCAAACAATTGCAGAAGTACTAGAACTAGGAGGCATCCACTTTTGCACAAAAGGATTTGAATGTTCATTGTTGCTGAATGAGACCAAGATCCTTTGAATGCATGTGCTAGCTAGCACTCCTGTGCAGGCACAGAGTAAATGTACTCTGCATGGCCCATTGCTTCATACTGTGGTTAGTATGTTTTAAGCAGCTCCAAAGGAAATTATTATTTCCTCATTTGGGTAGAATTAAAAGGTTAATGTATTGCTTCACTTTTGAATGTTACATTCTGATTGTCTAGTTAGCATTATGTTTGCTAAAGAGAAATTATATTTGAAATCATGGATTTTTATCACTTAATTTGCACCAATATCATTTTGCATTCCTTGAGATGTTGAAAATGCAAGCCAATGTCCAGTTTGAAGGCACATAAATAAATCAAGCATCCCAATATGTGACTGGAAGAGGAGGTATTTCACTTAAGTTTACCTTTAAAACTTGCAAAAATAATAAAGGCCAGTAAAACGTCTGTGAAAATATGCACACAAATTTTGGTCCGTTGACCTTTAACACATACACAAAAAACCAAAACAGGAAAACAATGGCATTTTAACTGGCACAGTGCTAGCCATGAGCATTTTAGAGTGTCTGCATTATTATCCTAAAGCTAATTTGGAGATTATGATCAATCACCTTCTCGCTCAAGCTATTTGTGAGTCAGGTTCTATTCTTTAGGGGTATTATCTTACTTAGGAAAGGAATGGACCTGATTGTTTCAGAAGTCACCTCTAAAGTTGCTGTTACAATCTTGTAAATTGTTGACCTCCATTTTTTTCACATCTGAATTTTTTTCACATGTAATGCCTGGATTTGACTAAACAAACCACTTTTACATGGGAAAACCAGGTAGTTGTACACATGGCTAATGGACTTGAATGCTCGCAAAATACAAGATGTCTTGTGATTGCACAAATTTTAGACAAGACACTATGCATTCAGTTTTTAGAGGCCTGCTTGAGAGCCCTTTGAAATTTTGGCCCCTTCTGTCCGAGACTAGATCCTGCAAAGTCTGTAGGACTCCAGGCACGGAGATCCTTCATCCCGGGTTGATCCCTTCGCAGGACTAGGGTCTAAAAATAGATGCATCACTGGGACCTCGGAGAAACGATTTAAAATAGAACATAAACGACAGCCTAAGCTTTCTCCTGGCTGAGGCTAGAGTTTTCCCTGAAGCACATCCTCTGTCCTAACTCCCTCTTCAGAGTGCGGCTCCAACTCCTGTTTATAATCTGGTTGAAGTTAACAAGATGCACCTGCCACTGTGACTCAGCAGGAAACACCCTGCACTTTCATACAGGGTCAGGATACAAGAATCAGGATGACTTACCAGAGGATCCCCTTCATTCTGGTACCACGTGCCAGAGTCTGCCATTCTGTTATACCCTCAGACTTTCCTGAACAGCTTGTGTAATTGGGACAGTTAATTTATAACAGTGTAATCTTTTTTTAAAAAGTAGCTGTGTCTTGGTTCGGCAGCTCCTTCCTTTCAGCTCATTTTATCGTTCCTGCCTCTATTTGCTAATTAATTATTATTTTTCTAACAGCAAGTAGTAAAACTCATTACGTATTTAGTGCACTGCACACTTCTACTTCGCTGTTCTAGTCTTTCTTTATAGTTCAATAAAAGCTCCTAGGTGTGAAGAAAAGGTAAAATAACATTGCAAATCCCAAATGACAGTCTTGATCCAGCTAGTGTGGACAAAAGATTACTCCTGTGAGTAGCTCCACTGAAGGCTCTGGGACTACTCCCAGGAGTAAAGTTGCATGTCTGTTTTCAGGCTTGGTCACGTCATGTGTACAGTGGAAAAAGTAAATACTTTGAGTGTTGTACATCTTTTCAAACTTGCTTTGAATTTTAGCTGTGTTGTATTCTTTCCATGGCAGGGTACAAATCTCTGAAAGTTTTCTATTGTTTATCATATGAAAAAAATGCCTATTAGCATTTCACACACAAATGTCTAACCAATTATTCTGGCCTACTATAATACAAACAGTTCATGGGTAAATTAGAGCACATAAAGTATTTCTTCAGTGTCATAGTTATCAACAGCAATTTAATGGTATTGTATCTCTTATGCGTGTCATTTATTAACATAGCTAATACTTTTCTGTTACGTCCCAGCTTGTTTTACCATCTGCATTCTAGTTGTCATCACCTTTCATGTTCTGACTGCAGTATTATTCATAAGCTAAGCGATACCTTAATCATCTGTCATTGTTAACTGATGAAAATGAGGTCTCTTTGAAGCTAATGCAGCTCCATCTGAGTGTCAGGATCGTTACTGTGCAGCTGTTTTGCAGGATTGGAGTCTTAGGCCCCAACTAAGCAAGGCACTTAAGCACATGCTTAACTTAAGTGCATAAGGTAGTCCCAATTAAGTCAGTAGAGCTACCTATGTATTCCATTTAGATGTTTGTTTAAATACCACACTGAACTGGGTTCTAAATGACATCCTATTTAAGGGCAAAGAGTTCCTCTCAGATCTGCACTCCGCTTTGATCTCCTGATAAATATATAGCCATCTGCATCTGAGAGGAGTGTTTTGCCAGAAAAATGATGATCATGCAAATTTGTTTATCAATCGAATCAAATGTTGGCATGAAAGTAGCTGATCCACAATTATTTTAACAGTGCAAGAACCTGTTCTTTTATGACCCACATCAAGATCCATAAATACTCTGATCACTAAGATGTGATAAACTGAGAGTTTGGTCTGTGCAAAATTGGTGTTGGTTCTTCTGTTTACTATAGCAATATCTTGCTTGGTGCTGGTATCTGAAATTTTCTTTTAATTTTTTCTGTCTCATTTACTGCTCTTCCCTTGGAGAAGAAGGGGTACACACGGAGGAACTGGACAGTGAACTAGGTAAATCATCCATCTCTCATTTTGCTGTATGACTGACTGTACCATTTTTAGCCTCTCATTGCTTGACCTCTCCTTTGTGTCATTTTGCATCTTTCAAGTTTTTTATTTCAACAAGGCCTAATTCAGTAACAAAATGTATCAGGATTTTTGGCACTGAAAATAGATTTTTTTTCCATGATGTGGAATCTTAAGGCACAGTTCCTATGGTATTGGATCCCAAAGAAGAGAAACAAAGTAAGGCCTCAATCTTGCAAAGGCTTGAGAAAATGTTCACCCTTATGCACAGTGGGTTTTAATTTTCACCCTGATGAAGTCAATGGAGTTTTGCCATTGACTTCAGTGGGGTCGGGATTTCACCCAATGAGTAGGTCCATTGACTTCCAAATTATGTGAAGGGTAAGCACATACATAAAACTTTTTTCGGGATTAGTACCCAGCTTTCCAGATTAGAGAAGCTAAGTGAAATTTGGAAAACTGACTAAAAATATCCCACAGAATGTTTTTGCTGAATTTGTCAATGAAACAGCAGAAATTTTGCCCCAGTAGTTGATGTTATAAATCAAGAATAAATTGATTTTAGATGGCGTGGCCTAGTGATAGTTTCTAAGTGTTTTTGAAGAATGCAATCATAATATCTAATCTCATTTAGCATTAGTTAGTTCAGTCTGTAATTCTAGTGCAGAGAACTATTAGACCATTATTTCTGCTCCACATTCTAGTCCATTTCGAGAGCTGAAAGGGATGAATGTGTTATATGTGACTGTATTTTCCTTAGGTCATTCATTGCTTTAAAGAAATTTATAGCTTTGTATGGTAGCCGATTATATTACAGTGGAATTAATCTCTGGTTTCCGTAATTACTTGAAAGCACAGACTGCGTCCCACTTCTGTGTGATTGATATGCCAGAAGCCATCAATAAATATTGACTGCTTTTTAAAATGCTATGCAAGAAGCTGCTCTTGTGGTGAGTGTGGCTGGAATAATGTTAAGAACCTAACTCCTTTTAGTGCAACACTTGGAAAGAGATTACATAAAGGAGTAATTTATCAATTCCTGTAGCAGGTGTTGGCACAACCCACAGCGCTAAGGTTTCCATTGCGATGGCTGGTAATCTTTCACAGACTAAAATAACATCAAGAATAAGTGCATGAAGACAGCTGAACCGAAATGTATTTTTAATTAAAATGTCTCAAAAACAGTAAAGATGAAGTAATAGTAGTATAAAATAACAAGATTATGGGTAACAACTAAACTTAAATGTTTACTCTTTCTATTACCCTTCAGCACACAGTGTAACTTTAAGGGAAGGATGGACAGAGGCAGTAGATTCAGGGAAGACCATTGGTTGATAACCATGGCCCTGATCCTGCACCAACTCACACATGTGCTTAACTTTACTAACATGAGTAGTTTATTTGATATCCGTGGGACTCCTCACAGTAGTATAGACAAATGTTTGTAAAATCGGGGTCCATATAAATACTACAGGGGTTTACAAGCATTTGTATGTCAAGAAAGAAGTTTAACATTTGCAGTTGTTCAGTCAGTGCTAGCAAGGTCAGAGAAGTATTGTCAAAACATATCAACAAAATCTCCAGTACAATAGGAACAGCAGTGGTTAGTATAAATTGGTTTGTGCCAGAGATTAACGCACCTAGTTTAACTAAAGTTTAACATTTGTTTTCTGACTGTGAGAAAATTAAATAGAAATCAACTTGAAACTTTCACAATATTTTGTATTTATCTTATATTTTCTAAAGAAACTGATTTAATAGGTAGTAATATAGATCACCTCTGTTTTAACAGAACAGTGCCATTTTAGGATAGAAATTAAACACTTAGGGAAAGATTTAACACTGTTACACGTGGGCAACTCCTACTAGTCTTGTCTACACTAGGAACACTGAGACCCATAATTCACTTCTGTGCAGCTCAAGCAGTAGTAGCAATATCGGAGACTGCAGAATAAATTGCAGGCTGGTAAAAATCTCTGAGCCCGACCTCCAAAATAGCTATGATCAGTCAAGCTCTAGTGAATTTCAGGGCTTAGTTTTCTAGTGTAGGTCCATTGGCATTTATGAGCTATGACTCATAAAGGATGGAATGCTCCAGCAAAAGGTCTTAGGGCTAGATTCTTACCTGGGTGCAGAGGGGCAAGGAAACTCTCAATCTGGGCTGGTGGTTTTCCTGATTTTCAGGGATTTATCACTCTTGTTGGTTGGAACACTGACCAACAGGCTCTCAGCTAGGAACGTGTTTTGACACCATGCTTAAAAATATAAGTTGGGCACTTAAGGCCAAATGAATAGGTTGTTGCTCTGAATTAATATTAGATTATAATCCTCCATGGGGGTCCACACGAGTGTGCCCTCATAGAACCACATGGGACTGCAGGAATGGCGATTCCTTTCCTGGGTCGGGGCTATATTCTATGATCTAATTGCTCTGGCTCATCTTGAAGACTGGGGGGAAGCATTTAAAACAACCCAGATATTGGACTTTGCAAAGTGGGTACTGCTAATGCAGAGTAATTTCTTGCTTTAGAGCATTTCAAAAGACTTTTTATTAGATTCCTGGATGTGGATCTACATAATAGACTACTTATGGCTCCAAAGCATCCGTTCTTATCTTGTTGGTTTTCAACACATGTAGAAATGTGTTTTGTTAAATTTAAAACTGCTTAAAGAAGTATTTATCCAATAGCCTGGAATGTCAGTGGAGTAATTCCAAGGTCCTTGTTTTGTGACCTTCCATAAATGTTCTTTTCTTTTACAGAAAATAAAAATGAAATGTTAATACTAAAAACATTTTAAATAAAGATAAGGCAATGACACTGGCCAAAAACAATAGCATGAGATTTGAAAATAAAATAAACATTATTTAAGGTTGTGACACAAAAAGCGTAGCCAACAAACTGAAGCATCGCTCTCCCACTTTAACTCTTGTTTTGGTGTTCTACTTCCGTCTCTCATTCCAACCTGGCCTCCACAGCCGTCTGCTTCCACAGTGGAATAAATTAAGAATGAAATGTCAGCCAATACTTTTGACTCTTTTGTTTCTTGTCTGTGTTAGATCTTTAATTGTTTGAAACTTTTTGACTAAACCCCAGTCTTTCCATCAATCAAATCAGCGGGAGTTTCAACTGAGTAAAGACTTCCAGGATGTGGCCTTTAGTTTTGCGCTTCCATTTTAATATTGACATTACTTTTGTGCTTTGTAGAGGAATGTCAGTTTCAAACCCATTCATTTGGTAAGCATGCAAAAGAGATCTGCTCAGAAGATTGCAAAGTGGTTTCATACCCAGAGGTTAGCACTGGCTTGCATTTGGTTGCTTATGTCTCAAGGAATCCAAAGATGCTTAAACTTGATAAGTGTAAAAATAAAGAACAGGGGGGAAACATGGCTTTTATTTGCAAACAAGGGACTTGTGGAGCAAAACCCACGAAATTAATTTCTTCTGATGTTCAGCCAATTCTGAATGCAAACATAAACTCTGAGTAATTACCCCATATGTATTTGTGTGGCTTCTCTTCATTTTCAGTCTGGAATTATTTGTGCCTTTATGGCAGTGTAGCGGATGTCGGTAAATATGGAACAGTACAGTTACATTATTCTGATTAATGGGCCACTGCTTGATTGTATTGGCTACGCAACTGATACCATTAATAAAAATAAATCTTTGCATTCCATAATGAATAAACACAGATTATTTCCCATTGGTCTTGTCAACTTGGCAATAAGTGCTGCTTTTATGAGGAATTCTTTCTCACTGGGGTATTTTAATAGTCTTCATATGCATGCTTATTATATGGTGATGGTTCTTTTTTTAAAGTAACTTGTGTAGTACCCAGGGCTGGCCTTACCATGAGACGAACTGAGGCAGCCACCTTAGGTGCCAGACTGTGGTTGGGGCGCCACTAGGACCCAGAGTGTAGAAAATTGTGTCTGTTGTTGGTGCATATGTATTCTGTCTGCTCTAGATGCACAGAGATGGTGGAGTGCTGTGCTGGAGGAAGGCAGAATTGAGACCTTTCAAAGTTTTGGCCCAAGTGAGGGGGCATGGGGGCGTCATTTGAGCTCCCCGCCTCAGGTGCCAAAATGTTGTGGGCTGGCCCTGGTAGTACCTCAGGCCCTAAAGCCACTGGGAGCTTTGTTTGATTCAGTGGGAGTAGGATCAGGCCCTTGAGTAATACAGTTCAAATAACCCTCACTACTATGCTGACGTGATCATAGAATCATAGACCGAAAGGGACCTCGAGAGGTCATCTAGTCCAGTCCCCTGCATTTGTGGCAGGACTAAGTATTATCTAGACCATCCCTGACAGGTGTTTGGAGATTTTTAAGAGCAGGTTAGACAATGATGGAGATTCCACAACCCTCCTAGGCAATTTATTCCAGTGCTTAACCACGCTGACAGGAAGTTTTTCCTAATGTCCAACCTAAACCTCCCTTGCTGCAGTTTAAGCCCATTGCTTCTTGTCCTATCATCAGAGGTTAAGATGTTCACTGATTGTGGTTAAAGAAGTACCATATGCTTCCAGTCTAGAAAATCTGCAGGCACAAAGTGCGGATAGATTTCCAAATGCAAATTTCATCTTCAGACCTGTTTTTAGTAATTGTTCTAATTAAAAAAAAATGAAAATGACTGTTACATGTGCTTATGGCATTAAATGCTTTTATATCAAGTGTTCTACAGTGAAGTACATTTGTGTTTGCATAGCATCTAGCATAATGGGCCCCTGGTCCTGAGGGGAACATTTGGGTGCTAATGTAGAAATCATGGTAAATGCTGAAATGTATTTAAGCACGGTTACTGCAAAAACTTAGCAGAGGAATAAAAAAAATTTACTTTTCCCAAACCAAAACATCTACAGAGAGGCACCTCCTAGAGACTCTTAAACAAGGAATGCATGACTGTTCATTTAACCCAGGAATCTAAATAATAAAATGAAACAAAAAATTGACCTGCTAAAACTATAGGCAATGGGCAGAGGTGACTGCTTTCCACAGGTTTGTTAACCCCGCTCCTGGTAAGGTTACAGTAATATTTGTGCTCATTAGACTATGTACTGATATTGAAATGATGGCTGTGATGATCCTCTTTCCTGATGGTTATTCTCTAAGTGAGAGTATGAGCTGATGTGGAATTCTGTAAGCTAAGTGAAACCGGGATGCCTGTCTGAAAACTATATCTTTAAGGCATTCATGTACCTTTTCTCCTGCCCCCAGAATTGCCTGCTGGTTGGGAAAAGATTGAAGATCCTGTATATGGAGTCTACTATGTAGAGTAAGTGTTGCTTGACGTTTCTGTTTTCAGTGTCAAGTAGATAAGAACTTTTTCCAGCTGAATTTGCTGTATCTTTATCATTCATTGCAACTGAATGGCTCACAGCTGGGGGTAGTGGTGTTTGCCTCCACCACCACCAAAAAAGAGTCACCCACCCTGATTGCTTTGTTTGTAGCTCGCAGTACTATCACAATGCACAGGCAACCTAAAGACTCGTACTTCTCCAGATCCTGGAAGTGAAGAGTTAATATTCTTGGTCTCAAGAAGGAAGGCACATCATATGTTGCTCTTCTGCCCCCCCTGGTGGCTGGCCGTGGCTCAGCATTACAGGATGTGACCTAAACAGGAGTGCTGTACACTTAGGGCTTGCCGACACGAGCGTTTAGTTTGTGGCAAGCTATCCACCGCACGCTACCCTGCTGCGCATTAACAGTCCATTGGCCCTGCTGATGCATATTAACAGTTGGTTATTGCAGTTTGATTTAGTCCTCTTTGAAACGGTACCAGATCAAAGTTCATTAATGAACTGTTCTGCACATGGAGCCGGGGATGTGATTCCCGGCTTGAGGAGATACACTTCTTCTAGCTCTCATCAAGCTAGTGCACTCAAAATAGCAACGTGGCTGCAGTAGCACGGGCAGCAGTCAGTGGCGGCATGGGCTAGCCATTCTGAGTACAAATGCATCCAGACCTCATGGGTATGTACTCAGGCACCGAGCCCAATCCGCTGCCTATGCCCCTGCAGCTTACGCTACTACCGGTTTTGCACGAGTATGTCTCCTTGAGCTGGAAATCACACACCCCAGCTCCAAGTGTAGGTATACACTTAAAGGGCTTGTTCAGCTGTATTACTGCAAGTGGTCTTATATAGTGAAGAGGGCTACTGGGATTGGAGCATTGGGAAACCTCAGAGTCTTAACATTCAGAGGCCTGAATTCCTTAATGAATGCATAGCTAGAAGTAAAGGCAAGGAGGAGTACTGATCTCTAGATGCCTGAGACCCATTCTTGGCAAAGACAGAATTCTTTTTAGCTGAGAGACATTTATTCAAAGCTAGAATGGGTATGTGATTAATTTAGCAATTTCCTTAGTAAAGCACTGTGATCAAAATGTGTTCTCATAAAACAGATTACCGATTCAATTAAAAAAAAACAAACCAAGAAATGAAAAATGACAGTGCTTGTGTAATCAAATAGTAACCATAAAGGTTCCTGTATTGTATTGTAAAGAATTATGGGTTTAATGTAACTCTCTCCAGAATTTGAACAGCTTCCTCTTTATCTAGATGACAGATCGCTCCCTTGGGAAATCGGAGAACCAAGTTTTGTTTCATCACTGACCCCATAAAATGAATTTTTAATTATGTGTACACTCCTGTCTGCTAGGATGGCTTAGGATAGCCTTCAGAATAGACATGGAATACAGATTCTATCTGCTTTGGCTCATTTTTGACCCCACCATCTGTGCCTTGGGAAACAAGGTTTAGCAAACTGTATAATTAAGGCCTGACATTTATTTGCCAAAGATATCGGGGGTATTTTTCATCTATTAAATGTCATGCCAAGAGGTCTCTTTCCAGCATTTCCAATGCCACTTTGCATATGCATGCCCATTAATTTCAGGCCACTCCCTAGTGTGAGATTAAATAGGACTGTAACAACAATGTGATATAAAAGACCATTTTACTTAATATCTATTATCTACTAATACAGGTATAAAATAGATTTCTCTCTCTTACACAAACACATTTATGTTCTGTTACACTGGATGATTTTCATTTCATGAAAAACTTAAGTGATGCCATTTTTTGGAAACCATTAAATTCTTCTCAGCCTTCCACTGATACATGAAATTGACAGTCTCTTATAGGATTCATGAATTTGTTTTAATATGCTTATTAGATTCATTAAATCAACAGTCTAGCATCAGGCTTATTTTAAAAAAAATTATCCTTTTTGTGAACCCAAGGAAGATAATTCTGAGTGGAACTCCGTAGTGAATGTTCTGCAGTTATTTGCAAACAGCTGTTTTGAAGATAACTATGGAACGGACTTCCAGACAGCAAAACACACTTTCTTAATGGTAAACTTTTGTACTGGACTATAGTTGAATTTTAACCAAAGACCGTTAACACTGGCTAGGTGCTTAAAGCAACTGATGCTTGAAATTCACAGATAAGCATTAGAGAAATTGGATATACGTGTTTTGTGTCCGCGCATTAGGATTTTTAAGATATTAATCGCAATAAGTTTTATGCAAAGAGATGCCACTGTGTAAAGAGTAACTGAAATCGTCCCTCTGACTTGTGTGAAAATTGCACCCGAATCAATATATTGATGTACTGTAGTTTCTGATACAGCTTTTCACGATTTTGTATTGACTCTTCAAATAGGTGTATTTTGCTAGTGCTTTACCTATCATTTTCTCAGTAGAACCAATCAAGAGAAGACTATCCTGAGGATATGGCTCCACAATTGGCTAATGTTTTCATGCTGGGCAGACATGTTAAAAATCACCCTGCTTTTTCCTACCTTTGTCGTCAGTTCTCCAAGTATTAAAACAACCGATGATCCCGCAGAGTGCAGCTCTGCAGGCGATTTCAGCTGGGCCTGTGATTCAGAATAAACCGGAACTATTGAATCCGTCCCATGCCAGCCTCTTTCGAAGTAGAACTTATTGAGGTTTTGCAATATGGTTGATTGCCTACAGTAAGGGCAGTACATCCTAGCTCAGTGCTGGATTGGGCTTTTTCACTGTTCTGTTATCATTGTCATAAAATTGCTCATGACTGTTTGTAGTCAACACATCTTGCTAGGCTCACCTTGTGCCATCAAAGCAGAGGGCAGTTGAGAATTGCCCTAGTATAGGGAAATTATAATCTACCATGAAACTGGGATAGCTGGCTTTAAACCAGCCTCTCCTGGTCCCCTTCATCCTCAGCATAGATTTTAAGGCCAGAAGGGACCATTGCGATCACCTGGTCTGATCTCCTGTAAAACAGGCCAGAACATTACACGGATTAATTTTTGTATCCAGCCCTTCTGTTTGAGCTAGAACAGATCTCTTAAAAAGGTATCCATCCAGTCTTGATTGAAAGACTTCAAGTGATAGAGAATCTATCACATCCCCATTTAAGCAACAGAGGGTCGTGGACCCTCTGTTGCTTTTTACAGATTCAGACTAACACGGCTACCCCTCTGATACTTGATCCCCATTTAAGTTGTTCCAGTGGTTGCCCTCCCTGTTAAACATCGGCCCCTTGTTTCTAGTCTGAATGTGTAGATGTTATGTCTGATATAGCTGGGGATAGGCATGGGTGTGTTCCTGGCCTGTGGTGGAACACAATGCACTCTGACCTGTAGAATGTCCCTCGCATATTATAGAGGAAGTTAACGCAGTTCTGTGGCTCTGCTAAATTGCATAGACGGGGAATCTCAAGATAAGGAGTGCGATAAAGATGTCTCAGATACAGCTGTGTGTGAGAGAGAGAGAGAGAGGGAGGGAGTTCAACACGCCTGAATATTGTGTTTAACACACTGGTTAATACTTTTTCTACTGAATCTATGACTCCATTAAGAAGCTGTCTAATTCACAAGTCATGTAAATTCCAGCAGAACTTTAATGGCTTCAACAGATTAGTAATTCTTTAGCAATTTTGTGGCACTGTCATTTTTTTCATGGGTTTCACAAAAGGGTTAACTCTATCCATCTGATGCAATGCATGATGCATAGACATTAGGAGTTTCTACTCACATTTACAGGTAAGTAATCTTATTTTGTAGCAGACTTGGATTGATTTATGTTGGTTTCAAACCAGATTATTTAATGGTTGCTAATTCAAAATACTTCTTGTGCCAAGGTCACACATTCCCCTTCATTAAATCTGTCTTGCTGCCCATATCTGCAGTGCAAAGCTTTGCAAGTATTTTTCACCCACCATATTAATATTGTGCATTGATTAGATAGCTGACAGATGTTACCAGATTTTTTTTTTTTTTTTTTTTTTTTTTTTTAACTTTCCTGAGCCGGGGAATGACTGCACCTCTGGGAATCTGATTAAAGCAGGGATGATGTAGGTCTGTCTTTTAACATGTAGTCAGTCAGGGCATCCTTTCTGCCTTAATCTCATTTTCACAGTTAAACTGCTTCTTATTGTAGTTGAAAGAATTAGCCATTCCTGCTCAAGATGTCCCAGCAGATAAGTTGTGCTTGTTTTCCTAAATGAGCATTTGGCACAAGTTGGTGAGTGTTTCGCCATATGCCTGGCTGTTCGCTTTTTCGCCCCCTTTGTCTCGGGAATTTCGAGTCTGGCTGTCATTTTTGTTTGCCACACAAAATGTTTCCTAATTTATTGCGCTCTTTCTTCTCCAGCCACATTAACAGGAAGACACAATATGAGAATCCAGTTCTGGAAGCGAAACGGAAAAAACAGCTTGAGCAGAAGCAACAACCACCAGAAGGTTGGCACCCGTGGAGAGCATTATGCTTGAGAGATTTGTTAAGAGAATATGCGCTCCCTTGAGCTTACAACCCCACGTGGGCATATTTGTCCTTCATTAAAATACTTACGTTGTGATCCCTGTGATTTTAAGGGGTGGGTTATACACACAGTGAGATATAAAGGTGCATGTAGTTTGCGCTCTTATTAGAAGACTGAATAGCACGAGGCAAAGGAGAAATGATCAAATATATTAGCACTTAATGGCTTTGAAGCTCTGAAATTGGGAGAATTTTTTAACTTATTTCTGAAAGATTGATCGGTTACAAAGCAAGTTTGCTTGCTCCCCGGGAATTATAAAAAACGACTTGTGAGCCTGAACTATGATTTTTTTTTTCAAGAGGTCATTTTTATATTTGTCCTGGTACTGATAAAACTTAACGAAAGATTAGAGAGTAGTATCAAATATGAATTAAACTCCTTTTTACATTTATGTTAAGAGTAAATTCTTGGGTAATGCAAACATGTTCCGCATCAGTCAGTTATTTCATTATTTTGACACATTTTTGGATTATTAAAAATCATGTAATGCAGCAGTAGCACTGAAATGAAATAGTCTCAGCCATTTAGAATGCAGATATGCTATGGAATTTCTGCATGACACTTTGATTGGCTACATCCGTTGGGACTCACAATGCAAATCCACGTAACCAACATGGCCTCCTCCACTTTTCAGTCCTCTCCTCCTCTTCCTCCTCCAGTCCTCCTTGCTTTTCTAGAAGGTTTAGTCCTACTAAGGTGCGTGATTTTGTTCTATTATAGTTATGTTTTATATTTTTTCTATCTCTAGAATGGACAGAAGAGCATCCATCTCTTGGTCCACCGGCTGTTCCAAACCATGCTCCAAACACCCAAGAGCCAGTTCGAGAAGCACCAGTACAAGGTAACATCCAATAAGTTTTTTCCATTATAATGAAACTAATTTTGCCACCACATTTCTTCAGAAACAAGACCTTCAATAGTAGTGTAGTGAGGACACAAAACACCAATTTCCTGAATTTCTCTGGACTTGAGAACGGTGGGTCTTACACAGAAGAGGACAAAAATGAAAGTGGGAATAGGCATGCCTCTTAGAGAGCGGATTTCTGCAAATCTCTCTCTCTCTCGCATTTCAGGTCTTTCAAAAGATACTGAAAATATGAATTAGAATCTTATTAACAGATTAAAAGCAAATTGTTTAAAGTACGATATAATGGGTGTGTGCAAATGCATATAGAACTCAGCCCCTTCTTGCAATACTGTGTGGTCAAACTATGTTAGAACACATTTGGCTGTTGTTATTTTCTTGCCTGTATGGGCAGGAAACAAATCTACCAAGGATAAAGTGTGGTTCTTATAATATGTAATAATGCAGGTTAACAATATTTTATGTTATAATATGATCAGGGCAGAAATGGGGTAGAGGGTGTGTGGTTGAATATTGCGGCCAAAGCTAGTGTATAATTGTTACCCCTGTCAATTGCTAAACATGAGCAAGTAGGCTGAGAGAGTCATGCAAATTAAAATTGTTTGACACCATTGTCCTCCTAGAGCTGGTCAATACTTTCTGGTGCCAAAACAATGCATACTGTGTTTGCCACAGTTTCACAGCACACTGTTTCTGAAGTGCTCATTAGCTCTGTGATGCTTGCTCACGTTCCTTCACAAATAGCCACTTCAGTGTCTCATGTTTAGACTTGCCAGGAGTGGGTCCTGGCAGAGAGGTGACTTGGTCAGTGTTTCCTTTTACTTCTGTGTCGTGAAGCTTTCCATGCCAGAAATGTTTTGGGGAGACCATTGTAATGTGGCTGATGAGGGAGCTGTGCTAGTCAGAGTGCGGGACAGGGGTACTGATCTCCACATGAAAGCTCTGACACTCTAGATGTCTCAGTAACTGAGGGCTTGGAAGGAAAAATCGTATCCCACCACTGGGACGATTAAGTGGAAACTCCATGAGATGAAATTCAGTGAGTTCCTAGAGCCTCTACAAATTTTTCCTGTGTAGGCATTATGATAGTTGCCTATCGCAACTGAAGCAAAGTGCGCTCCATAAAACACACAAGCATCAACTCCACTTCTGCAGATACTCATGCACGTGCTTCCGTTTAAAATGAAGAGAACTGCTGCTGTGCTTAAAGGGAAGCAAGTGCAAAAGTGTTTGCAGGGTCAGGACCTTATTTACTGATGCCATTTCAATGCTCGTGCAACATTCTGTGTATGTCCCGCCACTCCTGGAAAAGCGGCTTGTCATAACGATCCCACCGGACAGGAAGATAAATGCTCAGAGCTACATAAAGGACTGCATAGAAGGGCTTCAGCGTGATCTGAAACTTGCTAGAGTGCAAGGCAAGGTCCCCAGGTGAGAGCCTTCCCCTTACACAGCCGGCCATGGATTAACTAAGTCCAAGTATCAACAGCCAGAGTCCCCTCGCAGCCGTAACTATGTGTAAAGAGAGAGCTGGTCTCTCCAATAACTAGATCTCAGGCCTTGCAGGTTTGTCGCTAGCACCGTAAATCATTCTCTGACTCGAATAAATAGATAGTGCAGTGTGCTGCAGGTGTTAGGCACTCGTCCCTGCAGAACAGGGTGAGCCATGCTGCAAAGCGGATGCAACTCAAGGGCAATTAGAATAGAATGCAGTCATCCAGACTGGCAGAGGGAAAGCCATTGGAGTGCGGAGGTGAGGTCTGATGCAGCTTCCTGGTCAGTGGGAGTTGGGAATCATCGTTACCTGAAGCTCCCTGCCCATCCAGGAGGAGAACCACAGGATGGCGAATCATGTTGGACAAGGGCGACCATACCACCCAATAGAACCATCAATGTCACATCTCTCCCTTATGCCTTAAGAACAAAGCAAAGGCTGTCCAAGCTGCTGCATATTGTAATGCAGGGGGACTGATCATGTGGAATGTAGTTGAGCCAACCAGGCTCCTTCATAAGAACGGCCATACTGGGTCAGACCAAGATCCATCTAGCCCAGTATCCCGTCTTCCGACAGTGGCCAGTGCCAGGTGCCCCAAAGGGAATGAGCAGAACGGGTGATCATCAAGTGATCCATCCCCTGTCGCCCATTCCCAGCTTCTGGCAAAAAGAGGCTAGGGACACCATCCCTGCCCATTTCTGAAGTCGATAGAAACCTTTCCAGTGAGTGCGACAGTCTGTCAATATAATGGTTTCAGTAATTAACGCTCCCTGGCAGATTTTTAATTAAAATGTTAGCTTCAAACTTATTTAAATGTGGGGAGAAAATAAACAGGCAATTTGGAGCCATTGTTTCTGTGCTCTGCAGCTTATATTATAAGCAATGAGCAATAAGAGAATCTTGAATCTGTCATGAGAACGGTATTTTTGTCATGATACTTTTTTTAAGACTAAATAGGGTGTATTTGTCAAAGCAAAAATATGCAGTCATGGAACGGGTAGAATGGCTTCAAGTGAAAAGATGAAACAGCTGTCCATCCTTTGGGATGGATTCTGTACTGCTCACGGGCCGTGCCATGTGGCGGGGAATGCACCAGTTGAAGGCAGCCTTACTCTGGATCCCTATGCATCGTGCTGCAGTCTGGGATAGCCCAGAATCTCCCATTCCTTTCTGTACCGGGGGCTGTGGTGGGAAGCAACATAGGGCCATATCCAATAGCCCTGCCATTCTCCTGCTCCAGTGGAAGTTCTCCCCTGGCCCGCGGCAGTGCCTTTACACGCCCTCTACACAGCTGGAGTGGCATAAAGTGGCCAAAATCAGACCCATTGTTTTAAAAATATATATATATATATTTTTAATACAGACTTTACCTCTCATGCCCCATGTGGGAGGTGAATGCTGCGCTTTGACTCTGTACATAGTCAGTTTTTAGCTCTTAGACTCTTAAATTTACTTTAAATGTAAGGGTTTATGGTTACTTTGGGGACCTTTTCTCAGCTGATCAGCCCCTCCTGCTCTGACCGCCTTCCCTCATGGTGACATTACGTGAAAGCTCTAGTCTCCCGGTCGCTTGGACAGATGTTCACCGGCACACTTCCTCACAGTGTGTGCCCTCGCTTGTACTTGCCTCCTCTCTCTCGCTCACTCACACCCATGCCTCCTCTCTCACTCGTGGCAATTATTTCACTCTCACACTTGCTCACTTTCTTTGGGAGAGATCAGCTGAGTTGCCCCCTCTTTCATTTCAGGCTCTGCTGTCTGGGAGTGTTGCACAAAGCCCGGAAGAGCAGCAGCTGCCATTCGGCAACTTGGTGTGTAGCTTTGTCTTTCGGCATCCAGTTATAACGTTCATTTAGAGTTAAAAAAAATGGACCCCCTTCACCTCCCATTGCAGCCAAGAGGTAGCATAAAAATGCTGCTATTAGCACAATGTATTAGTACACACAAGAATCATGTTCTTGTGTTTCAAAGAGGCCGTGAGGCGAGTCATTTCCTCACATCTTGCTAACATTTTCTGGGGGGAGAACACTTTTTGCACACCTGAAACACTGTGGGGGTCGCATCCCGCAAAGCAAGCAGCACCCTAGAGATCTGCCTTTCGGAGCAGAAACTTGGTGATGAGTTCTTAAATGCACATTGGGCGTTCTGATTATAATGCACCTCGAGCCCTGTCAATCCTAGAGTTGTCACCAGGGGTCTCAGTGGTACAGCTTTTTCCCTCTAGGGACCTGGGTAAAAAACAGTCACAAGTGCAGAGATGTTTGGTCTCCTGGCAGCAGAGCAGGCAGTGTGACTACTTTTCAGAACCCATGCAGTGTCTTTTACATGGACCCTACCTCCATAGGATGTTTTATTTATTTATTAAGCATTTAAAGCGCTCTGCACTCCATAGCATGCTCCCAGGGAGCACGGATAACGCCCCTCCGGCACAGCCAGTCTGGCCCTGTGATTCCTTTTGTGGTTCCCATGCACCACTGTCGATACTGTTTCATGCACTTCAGGCAGAGTGTGGAGAGGAGCACGAGTCAAAGGCAGTGCTTTGGTTGAGCAGGGCAGCATCTGAAGAACATTGCAGTTAATATATACAGGGTGGGGGATTATACTCAAGGAAGCGAGATCCCCTCACAAAGCTTGCTTTATTTTGGTGCAGTTGGGGATGAAAGACTGGGGTGGGGATGAAGGGGTCAGGGGCTTTATGGACAGAGTAATATGGTCAAAAACTCTTTTAGCTTTCCGTTGGCCCAGAAATTCCTGCAGCAGCCTGCCCTAGCAGTCGTTTGCGCAGTCTCTAGACTGCTCAAGAAATTACCAACGCTGAAATAGCGGAGGTGTCGCAAGTCGAGTTTGAAAAGCACTGGCAGAGCCCTGAAAGGCCACTTAGCACAGAACCTGCTCCCTGAGGCGAGTGTTCCAAGGGCCTCGCTTTCATGAGCTCTCATTTCGTCCATTGTTTTTTAAAGATATGACATTTGCCATTACAAGTGGTTTTTGTGCTTCCTAAACTGTCTCAGGAGAAAGAGCTAGTAAATCTATCCAGATTGTCTGTGTATTCCATCTCCCACCATCGGTAGCCTATGCACGTGACTGCATCTGTTTTTAAAATTAAAATATATACTCTGCCTTGAGATGAACACCCACAATCAATAAGCAGAGGGCCAGATTCTGATACCATTACTCACCTGTAGCACTTGACTCCATGAGTGGTCCCAGTGAAGTCAATGGAGTGGAGTAAGAAGCTAGTAAACCGGAGTAAAATTGCGAATCTGTCCCATTCTCTTCTGCGCATACACACGAGTGTCTGTCCATTAAATGGCTAGCCTGGGCTGGGGAAGGAAAAAGGGATCGAATATTTTTCTAGCATATTTATGGACTTTCAAAACTTCCTAAACAGGAAAACCATTTTTCACGCGAAACCCTTCGGAGTTGAAAGGGAAGTTCATCCACACCAAGCTGAGGAAAAGCAGCAGGGGGTTCGGCTTCACTGTGGTCGGAGGGGACGAACCGGATGAATTTCTCCAAATCAAGAGTTTGGTGCTTGATGGCCCTGCTGCCCTGGACGGCAAAATGGAGACAGGTAACGCTCTGGGGACAAAAATTAAATAACACCCCACTTTGCGCTTAACAGCGTGTGTTATCTGAGGCTCTCAAACAGTTTTAAGACTCATCGTAACGCTCTGAAATCAATAAGTAGTATTGTCCCCATTTTGTAAGTGGAGAAACTGAAACACAGACCAGCTGAGGGACTTTCTGAAGGTCTTGTAGCAAGTTATCGGCAATGCCGATACCAGATCTCAAGAGCTGTCGTAGCCAGTGGTCTGCTCTGACTGCTAAGCCATTGATGCTAAACCCTGGGAAAACGAGCAACCGCTTCAGTTTCTAGTGCAGTCCCAGAGAGCCACCTGACACTGCATGGCAATAGGCACTTTGGGATGCATTGACAGCTCCTAAGGAGGAAAACACCTCAAGGGTATTGTGTCGCGTATTTTGCACCTCTCTGTGATTCCTTTTCATCTCGCCCCTTCTTCCTAGCTACTACCAAGAAGTGGCCAGTCCCTCCTGCTGCTCTTCATGTCTGGAGGCATCCTGAGCCGTGTCTGTTTTTTCAGCAGTGACATTAGTGCGTTGCCTGTGCCAAGCGCTACAGGAAGCAATGGGGGTGGGTTTTTCGCTCTGACTGGGCAGAGCAGGAAGAGACAATTGTGACGTGGCCCGTGGCTCTGGAGCCACTGGTTGAGCATCACTGTTTTAAACAGCCCTGCCTGGCAGCTACAGTATAAAACAAATCATAACTTAATCAGTACTTAGGCTTGAGACATTTACGTCTGAGACGCTATTGCACCATATTTATGCAGTCTCTAGCGGCAATCATTCTGTTTTTATTCTTCATGTGATCGCCATTGTGTTTCTGTCATATGTCAGCTGTATTAGTGTGTGTGATAGCAAGAGCTGAGCTTTGCAAAAACTGTTAAATGGGCCATATAGTGTCATTTTGCTTGATTTTTTTTTTTTTAATAAGCCAAGTTCTATTTTCCTTTCCAAAACACTTTTGTATGTAAAAAATTATTCAGTGACTCTCTTTTGGATACAGATTGCTTTCGCTCACCTCAGCACAGCTACTCTTGTCGTTTTAGATAAAGTATCTGTGCAGGAGTATTTAGATAAATATCTGTGCAGATGTTTATGCCGGTACAAGTCTATCAGCATGGAAGCAGAGTGGTACCCATTGTTCAGTGCTGATAAGAGTCCGTTGTTAATGTTCTGAAAAGAGATTGGGGCATTAAAGCAATGAATTGACAGTGTGTGTATGTTTGTTTTGTTTTGTTTCATCCATAGGAGATGTTATAGTCAGCGTGAATGATACCTGTGTGCTGGGACATACACATGCTCAAGTTGTCAAAATCTTCCAGTCCATTCCCATCGGTGCCAGTGTGGACCTTGAACTGTGTCGAGGTTACCCTCTGCCCTTTGACCCCGATGACCCCAACACAAGCCTGGTGACGTCTGTGGCAATTCTAGATAAAGAACCGATCATTGTGAACGGACAGGAAAATTATGATTCTCCAGCAAGCCACAGTAGTAAAACAGGGAAAGTAAATGGCTTGAAGGAGCAAAGGCCAAGTAGTCCAGCTGAAGTCTCTTCAAATGGATCCCATGGTTACCCCAACGATACTGTCTCTTTGGCTTCTTCTATAGCAACACAGCCTGAACTCATAACTGTACATATAGTGAAAGGGCCTATGGGCTTTGGTTTTACTATAGCAGACAGTCCTGGTGGTGGGGGCCAAAGAGTGAAACAAATTGTAGACAGCCCCAGGTGCCGAGGCCTAAAAGAAGGGGATCTAATCGTTGAAGTGAATAAGAAGAATGTGCAAAACCTCACTCACAACCAAGTCGTGGATATGCTGATTGAATGTCCTAAAGGAAGCGAAGTCACATTACTTGTGCAACGAGGAGGTACGTCTTGGGGGGGGTGTTTAAAGTAGTTTTGTCTGGAAGGCTTGCAATCCTAAATTCAAGTTATAAGATGTAGAAATTGACCACCCCTCACAGTTTTCTCATATTACATATCGTATATTAAAAAAACGTTATTTTAACCCATTTTTATTGCAATGGGAAATGTATGTCTATAGATACATTATACATAACATTTATATGTAATATTAATATCTATCTGTGTCTTTTGATAGCAAGTGTTCTGATTAAATCAGGATTTAGATCATAACCCCTGTTTTCATATACTGGTAAAAGTTTGCCTCTGGGACAAACTTTCTTTGGATTTCCAAAGAAATTGTGGGCACCCCTTTGACTGTTTTTGGAAAGTGAAGAGGGCCGAAATAATCCACATCCTTCTCCTTTTTTTTTTTTTTTTTTTTTTTAAGCTCAACAGTAACTCAAAAGTATCCAGGGAAAATCACCCGCCGAACTTTGAATGTGCATAGTCCTCGTTGCAGGACCAGCCCTTCTCCGGATGTGGATGGGCCAAAAAAAAAAAAAAATTAAACTCAGACAGTTTTAAGCAATTGAAAAATTACTTCTGAGCATGCTCAGTTGGCATCTGTTAGGAGTTTAGCCATCCTGATGAAGTTTCACCTCTTTTTTTATGGCTTTGCAAAGCACAGTGTCCCAGAAAGGCCCTGGGACAACCTCCACTGAGCAGGAGTAAGTCACAAGCTCCTGCTGTACTTATTTAAAAATAAAAAAGGGCAGAGGGGAGCAACGTGCAAGAGGAGAGGGAACATGTGGGGCTTACATGGGTGTGACGGGTTGGATCACAGAAACCCCCTTGGGAGCTGCCACCCGATGTGCAAAGACTACCCCTGCTTCTGTTTTCCCTGCCAGCTCAGGACTCCAGCCCCCTGTCTTGCTGAGCGAGACACTCCAGTCTGGCTCCAACACAGACCCAGGGTCTGAATCACTTGTCCCAAAACTGCAAGTTTACCCAAAAACAGCTCACAGGAGTGTGCTTGTCTTTAGCACTCAGATGCCCAACTCCCAATGGGGTCTAAACCCAGATAAATCCGTTTTACCCTGCATAAAGCTTATGCAGGGCAAACTCATAAATTGTTCGCCCTCTATAACACAGATAGAGAGATATGCACAGTTGTTTGCTCCCCCAGGTATTAATACATACTCTGAGTAAATTACTAAATAAAAAGTGATTTTATTAAATACAGACAGTAGGATTTAAGTGGTTCCAAGTAGTAACAGACAGAACAAAGTAAGTCACAAGCAAAATAAAATAAAATGCGCAAATCTATGCCTAATCAAACTAAATACAGATAAGTTCCTCACCAGTTCCAGAATGCTCCCTTTTACAGGCTAATCTCCCTTTAGCCTGGGTCCAGCAATCTCTCACAACCCCTGTAGTTACTGTCTTTTGTTTCAGTTTCCTTCAAGCATCCTGGGGGGGTGGAGAGGCTCCTTCTTTAGCCAGCTGAAGACAAAATGGAGGGGTCTCCCCCAGGGTTAAATAGACTCTCTCTTGTGGGAGGAGACCCCCCTCCTCCCTCCTATGCAAAGTCCAGCTCCAAGATGGAGTTCTGGAGTCACCTGGGCAAGTCACATGTCCCTGCATGACTCAGTCTTTACAGGCTGAAGCCATTGCCCACATGGAATCTTGCATGTCTCCAGGAAGACTTCTAATGTGGATTGGAGCATTCCAAGATGCATTGTTCCCTGATCAGGTACTTAACCTGGCGAATTCCTTCCTAAAGAAGCTGACCAAATGCCTCCCAAAGCTTACTTAGAAACCAAGCAAGCATACAGCCCATATTCTTAACCTCAAGTAGAAAATGATATATATATGTACAAATAGGATGAATAGATATAGTAGACCATAACCTTTACGGAGATATGTTACCTGGCACAGGCAGCACAAAACATATTCCAGTTATGTCATACATACATTTATAAGCACCCCCTCCCCATAAAGCCTTATGGGGTACACTGTCACAATGGGTTTATGGCTATATAAGCACAAGGCAAAGAGGGATGAGCCAGAGGAGAAGATGTTGATGAGATGCTGTTTGACCACCAACTGACCCCTGCCTAGTGGAAAGAATAAAGCAGGGTAAAAATAGTTCTGGGTGTAGTGAGCGGGTATGGGAGAGCGTAGACTTGGGCTTCTAATTCAGTGCAAGGCAAAGTGTAATGAGGAGAAGTACGCTAATGAGGCATTCCCCTTGTAAGCCTCACTCCTGCTAGGAGGCCAGAGTCACTTGGGGTACGTCTATACTTACCTCCGGGTCCGGCGGTAAGCAATCGATCTTCTGGGATCGATCCCGGAAGTGCTCGCCGTCAACGCTGGTACTCCTGCTCCGCGAGAGGAGTACGCGGAGTCGACGGGGGAGCCTGCCTGCCGCATCTGGACCCGCGGTAAGTTCGAACTAAGGTACTTCGACTTCAGCTACGTTATTCAGCTGTTGCTGCCTTCTTAGGGGGTTTGTCTACACTGCGATTGCAGCTTGTGGACACCTACCCGAGTTAGCTTTCATCTTACTAGCTCAGGTCCTGGAGCAGTGAAGCTGCAGCAGCCTGGGCTTCAGTGCGGACTAGCCCTGTGTGGAATTACCCAGGGTTCCAGACAGACTTGTACAGCCCCATGCTGCTGCAGGGTCACTGGTACCGGGACTTGAGCTAGGTGCTCATAGAAAGCCAGGGTCCTCTGTGCTCCCTGCCCCGCAAACCACTTTTTACCGTATGCATGTCTGCGCCACCATTGACGCCTATACCGGTGAAGGTCAAGTTGTCAGAGATGAGCTGCAGAGCTAAAATAAGCACAGAGTTAAGACCGTAAATATGTGCTGAATGCCACCTCCTAGCCAAGCTGTGGGGAACATCTGGCACAGGAATACTTCTCTACTGGCTTTCCAAATGGTTTTTAGTGGAGTCAGCATGAAGCCAGCAAGGGCTAGGGAATGTCAGTGGGGAACAAGTGGTTTCCAAAAAGATGTACTGGATGGCCCTACCACCACATACACGTGGCGAGTGAGAGAGGGGTGGCCAATGTGTGTTGCTGTACTTGATTTCATTTGCATTTCAGCTCTCCAGTTGTTTCCCTTTAATCAGCCCCCTGATAAAGAGCGTGCGCACAATAAGGGTGTAAATTAAGGCCCCTGCTAACACACCAAGTCCTTTCATCCCCTTGTAAAGTCCCCTTGGCTTGCAAGATTGGGATCTTAATTTGCATGTTTTGAGTTTTCCAGGGCAGGGCGTGGGACAGTTATTAGCTGGACCTACATTTTCCAAGATGATCGGTGATTTTGGGGTTGCTTGTCTTGACACCTTGTGAGATGGTGGCGCGTGCTCATCCATTTCTGAAAATCCCGGCACCTTTTCTCTTGTGAACGCAAGCCAAGAATTCTAGTGCACAGATTGAGCAATGAATGAGGGCTGTAGTAAAATGAATACTTTCCTTCCTTTCCGCCTCAAAAATTTTATTGAATTTTATATTTTTATCATAAATTAAAAAGTAAGGAATGGAATATATTAAGACGAGTTCTCTAGTTTTATTACTGGTATCTGCAGAACCTGAGTAATTTAAAATCACTCTAATATTGAGAGCCTTTAAAATACACCATAAGTCTCATGTTTGATTTATGTATTTGGTAGAAAGTTTCTCCAACTACAGTTGGAAAGGAAACAGCAGATATTATTAATCTTCCTGGAAAGAACATAAATATCTCTGTTACCACTGTACATTAGTTAGTCGAACTGTGGCCGACATTCAATCATCCTTCTTTTGCCGCTGGGGTATAATGAGACGGTTTGATCAGGAAATCAAGGTATTGAGTTTTAATGGGAAAGTAAATGGTCAGTCTACTGCTAATATTAATGAATCTCTTATCTACCTCATCTTTTCCAGCATGTGGATTGATCGATGAACACAGATAGCTGTGGAGCTGCTATAAGTGTCTCAAATTTTGTACCAATCTCCTGACTTATCCCTGTATCTAGAGGCCTAGTTGTCTTGGCATTTGTATCTAATTGCATTGTATTTGCAATTCTGAGTTTCATGTTGTCATGGTACAGAAGCTTGAATTTGTTGTGACCCTGGTGCCCAATAAATAATTCAAATGAGCTTCTCTCCACATCAAAATGAAGTTACCCTGAGAGGTTGCTAATCATGGTTCATAAATTTAGCAAAATATAGGGGGAGGAGGGAATTGGCCTGCTAAACCCAGGGTTGAGGGTTCAGTCCTTGAGGGGGCCATTTAGGAATCTGGGGCAAAAATCTGTCTGGGGATTAGTCCTGCTTTGAGCAGAGGGTTGGACTAGATGACCTCCTGAGGTCCCTTCCAACCCTGATATTCTATGATTCTATGGTATAAGCATGAGACTAGCTACAATGTGGAAAACAGGGTGTCTGGTTTAAAAGTTAGAGAATGTACTTAGCTAGGATGCACTGTGACTATGGTGTTTAGATCAAATGGGCTTAGATCCTCTCTGCAGTAACTTTACCTTGCATTGCCTCTGCCAATTCCTTTATCGGCAGTGCCTGCCCTAGACAAAGTGCCGCTATTTATTTTGATCTGATTCCAGAAGTGTACTTGGCTCCATTCTGTGATAAGATCCTTCATGCCTCTTGAAGTGGTTCTTCTTTAGGTCTCTCTGCTGGCTGTCCTTTCCTCCTCCTCCCTCTGGTGTCCAGTGAAGAGAGTGCTAGGAGAGCTTGCCGTCAGGCATTCTTTTATTAACATAACATTTGCATTCAATCAGACTTTGCCGGAATCATCCCCATCACACTGACGCTCGTGTTCAGAACTGTCCAAAGGATTTGTCAGTAGTGATTACTAATCAGGCAGAAAAATATCAGAGAGAGATGCGTAATCTATGTGAAAAGCTCAGCCAGCTCCAAGCCACTGGTGCACTCCCGACAATTACGCCCAGTTGTTGAAATGCAAAGCGCGTAGCCACTGAGAGCGGCCTGTAAAATATTTACTGTAATGTAGCTT